TGCAAACACACAGGGGCTTATTAAAAACGAACTAGAGCTTGGGCAGTCCAGCAGTACTCCCAAGAAGCAGGTGAGGGTGAGAACAGCCCCAAACCAGCACAGGAGTGAGCTTATAAAGGGAAAACTCAAAAGCTAGGGGAGTGTAAACTTGGCATTTTCTGATTGGTTCATGGGGGATGCTTCCTGGGTCGATTGGCCCTGGGGTTAAGTAAGGATTTAGACATTTTGGTTAGAGCATTTGGTGACCATGATAAAATGTCTGTTTCCTCAGTGTCAGGCTGATCCAGCAGGATGTGGGGGCCCTGGAACAACTTTTAGCTATTTGTGGTTTTTCCAGCAACTGGGTTCACTGTCTGGCCATCAGCTTCTTAAGATAGTGTCCAGCCTAAAATGGCATTAATCTTGCCTGGTGGTGTTTGGCCTCTCAGTTGATTAATAGCCCTTTGTTTAAGAAACTGAATTTTAGACCTAGCTTGTAAAGCTTAATAAAATTCAACAAATTGGATTTGATTGAGTCTGAATGGTCTTTCCTATTAGTTTGCAATCCCCTAACACCACAACACAGCAGGGCTGAGGAGCCATTGGGTGGAGCAGCAAATGGAGTTAGCTTAAAGCAAAACAAGTTACCTTGGTCAGTTCACCATCCTGTTGGCCACTGAGGTATGGGCAAGCTCTCACTTGGTTCCCTCATTACAGGTAATGCATCAAGCCTCCTTCCTGGTTCCCAAGGAAGAAAACTGGCCAGGATGTAGTGCCCCTGGGAAGTGCCAGGAAGTAGTGAGTACCAATCCTGAAGAAGGTAGTCACAGGAACAAAGTGTGTGTGTGTGTGTGTGTGTCCTAGGAAGGAATGGACAGACACTGTGAGGGAAATGAATAACTAAAAACTACGGGACTCGTGGCAAGAAGGGAAAACCAGTAAGAACAAGTGCTTCTGCCAATAGATATAGATAACTCCCTGACTGAGTGCATTCTCCCTGCCCCCCATTATCTTAAGGACAAGGCCACTGAGCCTGCTGGTCCTAGAGAAAGAAACACCCTAACTTTGCAGGTGTACTAAACAATCCCGCCTTGTAAACACTTTGTACTCTATGAAATCTCTGTAACCTTGGAAACCTTATAGGCTGAGACTAGCAATCTCAAACCTCCCCTTCCCTTTAAAAACACCACAATTATAAGGGGCACCTTACTCTTCTGATAGAGTGAGGTCCCAGCTGGTTTGGTTCTTAGCAATAAACCCTTTGCTTTTACAGTCAGGAGTCCTTCCTTGGAGGTTGAGGAAACCCGGTAGGCACAACATTTGGGGGCTTGTCTTGGATTTCCCCCAGCCTCCCAGGACCCCTGACCCTGAAAGGTTAAGCTCCTGGCCAGGGTGAGTGTTCTATGTCTGTCTGTCTAAAAAATATATAGAGGAAGGCTCTCATTCTGGTCCAGCAGTGGACATCTGTATCTGTATACAGGTCAATGGCACCTCAGTGGACGCACTAAAAGGGGTCATAACTGGAGAATTTGGGGGACGCCTCAAGTTCTCATCTGGGCAGGGATCCAGCCAAGAATTGGATTAACCTGACATCTGAGGGTGAAGACTCGGTCAAGGACCGAGTCACCCTACTGGGGAGGCTACCTACCATCCATACTGTGTTTGGCATTATAGACCCTCTGGTAAACGGGGGAGTCAGGCCATCTGAATCCAAGAGAACCTAGTGTATATAAGTCTCTGTGGTGGGCCCTTTGTCTACTTATGGTGTTCATTTGTGTGGTGTATTTTTCCTTTGTCTTTCCCCTATGGACACTACTCCAGACAAAAATTAACATAGGACAGACTCCTTCCTCCTCTGTGTAAAATCATACAATTTCCTGCCGCATCCCCCGGAAGTTACAGCCCGGTGGCAAAGCAGAATACCAGGGTAAACAGCACCCAGCCCCTCCCTCCCCTGGCAATGCAAGCAATGCAGGTACAGGGGGTGGGGGGTGGGGTGGGAGGTTGAGGGGGATGACTTTGATAAATATTTTTATGTCAACTAAAAAATTAAGACTAACAAAATAAATGGAATATAGATTTAATGACTATGTGAAGACTTGGTACAGTCTAATACAAAGAAGACAAAATATAGTAAAACAATGGATGTAAGTCAAATGGGGCTACAAATTCAGAGGTCCATAAAACACACCAAAGCAGCACAGAGAACATCGGAAGGAGCTTTAAAAGTATAACTCTACTTCTCTGGGCAATAAAAGATAAAACAAACAAACAAACAAACAAACAAACAAAGGATTGACCACCCCCCCCAAATCATCATCATAATAGGAGAGCTGGTAAACCCCAACAAAAGTCAACAGTTGAAAAAATGGAGGGTTCAGAGAGGCTCAAATTTTCTGGTATAAATGTAAGCTTTGTTACAAATATAGAGTTAAAACAAAAATGGTTTAAATATTTTTATTGTCTAATGCAAACAACAGTCATTTATGGATATAGCTTAAAATTTATCTCTGAGCTCTGGTCATTACATTCAGATAAAACTGTTTTATGTTTAAATCTGTTAAAAATTAAGCCAGAAGCAGAAATCTGTTGAGACATGTTTAAACTGGGAACAGAAGTTAAAACTTATATATTTAATGGGAACTCTTAGACCCAAAATTTTAGTGATCAAGAAGGACAGGAGTCCCAAGACCAGGGAGAAAATCCCATCCTCAGGAGATAAGCTGTACTTATCTGGAGTCCTTTTGACCTGTGAGAAGTGGATCCAAGTTTTATGACTTTTGATCCTCTGAAGTCTATATGAACTTAATTATATAAAAGGACATAAATGTTTTAGATATATTACCATTACCAATCTGTACTGAAATCCATATTGTAGAAAAAGTGGATAGTGGATGTCTATAAAACAGCAAGAATATACCTTTGAGTCCTAGCAAAAACTACAGATTTTGGTTAGAAGCTTGTACTTTTCTTTTGTCTAAAGAGAGCCAGGTATAGATTGGACAGCAGTGCCTTAGGCCTAATGAAAAGCCCTTTATATTTATAGTTAGATGAAAACCAAAATAAATTATAAAACTTTGAGCTTGTGACTGACAGCAGGTAGTCACCACTCTATTAGCTTATCAGAACTTTATTAAATGTTAAGTTCTGAAATTTTATATTTTAAATTATTTTATATCTTTAAGACTTATATGTCCTTATATTTTTAGATTTTTTTATTTAGGAGCCATATTAAGGCAGCCTAATATTGTCAGGCTGACAAAGTTATGGCTAGCCCAGCCATCAATACTATCAGAGATCTGAGAAGGATAAATTTGTGTAACTTTTGAATCTATTTAAAAAATGACACGGACCAGTCCATATACAGTTAGCCATAAACAAGTCTCTATAGAGTTGGGGGCAGAAGTAAGTCTTCACCAGGTCCAAAAAGTGAGAGGGCTTTCTCTCTCTCTCTCTCTCTCTCTCTCTCTCTCTCTCTCTCTCTGGAAGAGGGACATGGCAATCAATTTTCCAGTACCCTGCAGCTTGTCCACAGTCTAACCCGGGTCCTGCCTGGCAGCAGGCATCACATTTGAGCATCTTGCTCACTGGTCAGTGTTGTCACAATCCATGGTACCCCATAATCTTTTCTAGAGACCTTAGGTTACTGTCAGGATCTGGGATTCTCTGATATAAGCTTTTAAGTTAACATTGTAAATGCCATATTCTGTAGATCTCTGTAGTATTAGAAGTCTGCCTAGGTAGATCTAAACAGACAACTTTGTTTTTGGTTACTTGTTTTAAGCTTAACCTTTAAAAACATATACAGGTGACTGAGTAAGGTTTATCTCCATTATTAATTATTAATACTTACCTTGACTATAACCAACAGTTTATTTATAAGGATGGCTACTAACATCTTTTTATAATATCAAAAATAAAGTACCCTTTATGTTTTTAAAACCATTATTACCTGGATGACTGTTAAATTTATGTATCAATTCTCAGTGTTACAAGTTTTAACCTTTTAGTTGTGAGCATCAGTTACTAACTACAGCCTCCTCCAAAAGACTGCTAGCCCCAGACTTGCTGTGGATGTGAACCAGCTCAGCCGATGTGAATCTTCAGAAGAGTCTACGAACTAATGCCTCTGATAAATGTTCCATTTCCTAAATCCCCCCACCTTTTCTTTTTACCTTTGACTAGCATTTCAGCCTTCTAGAGCCCCAGACAACACCCCAAAAGTCAGCAGGAAGTAGCACAAGAAAGAATATGTCGCCCCTTTCCCTGGTTGAGAGGCTATCATATATAGGGGACAAAATGACCAACCTGTACCCTAAAACCCACCAGAAGTCTTTTAACTACTAGAGACCCAAGATTGGGCCTCTAAAGTTCATAGCAAAGGGGGGAATGTGAGCGAAAATTAGTAACTAAAAATGCAGGACTCATGGCAACAAGAGAAAACCAGTGAGAGCAAGTGCTTCTGCCAATAGCTATAGATAACTCCCTGACTGGAGAGTACATTCTCCCTGCACCCCCCCCCCCCATTATCTTAAGGACAAGGCCACTGAGCCTGCTGGTCCTAGAGAAGGAAACCCCCTAACTTTGCAGGTGTACTAAACAATCCCGCCTTGTAAACATTTTGTACTCTATTGGAAACCTTAAAAACGCTTCACAATTTTAAGCGGGCACCTTACTCTTCTGATGAGTGAGGTCCCAGCAGGTTCTCAGCAATAAAAACCTTTTGCTTTTACAATTGGGAGTACTTCCTTGAAGGTAGAGGAAACCCGGTAGGCACAACAACACAAGCTCGGTGATCGTGAGCCTGATACTTGTGGAGACAAAAGAAAAATAAGAGCCGGCTGAGCTGGCCAGGGTGTCCACTCCCCCTTGTGTTGGGACCGGACATCACCGACCCTCACAGGACAAGCAGAGTGGAAAAGGAGCACTGACTTGGAAAGCTAGGAGCGCAGGCGCACAGGCTGTGCGGGGATGCGGATGTTGTCAGCGCGCAGGCGTAGCAGATCCCTGGAAAACCCGCGCGCCCCTGGAAAGTCACAGTACGCAAGCGCTGGAGCCTCCCCACTCAGGGCAGGCTTGTCAAGACTGCACACAGGTGTGGGTCCTGTTCGGAGCCCAAAAGGCGGCCCGTGGGTTTCCGGTTCCGGGAGTAATCAACGGCCGCAGAGGCTACAAAACTAGTGCTTTGGTGGAGCCTGCGTTGGAGGAGGAGGAGGAAGAGTGGACCAGGCGGGGCGCCCGGGGCGGGATCGTCCCCATGGGTCCACGGGCCTAGCGCGGTGGAAGCTAAGGGCCTCCTGTCCTGCTGGTGAGACAGCCGTGGGCGTGGAAGTGTTGGGAGCTCAGGAGGAGCTGGGGAGGAATTGAGGCTCCGAACGGGCGGGGAGACACGAAGGGCCCTGAGGCTAGGAGGAGGAATGGCGTCTTCTGTGAATTGAAAGAGCACTGGGGAAACTGGACAGAGGGCAGGAAGGGAAGGGATGTATGTGGTTCACGGCCTTGACAGCAATGTCGAGGTTCTGGGACGAGGATGGAGAGGAATGGAAGAAATCAGAACGTTCAGAGAGACGTCAGGCCTCCATGTTAACGGGATAGGACGGGGAACCCAACGCTGATAGTGAGAACACGGGGCCTGAGACAGGTCACAGGAGAAATACCAGCGTTAGAATTATGAGGGACTAGAGACTCGTGGAGGACGAAAAGAGGAATGTCAGAAGACTGACACGGGTGGTATTGTCCCCGATCAGAAACAGAAATTGAGAGGCAGGAACAAGGAAGTTTTCACAGGATAAGAGAAATGGAGTAGCAAACGCTGGCTGTAGCGGTGAGGGATGAGGCTGGAAAGGAATTGTGGGGCCAGAAAAATGAGGGAAGATCAGTTTTGGGGAGAGCTCTTGGACTTGAGGGGAGATTGCAGGCTGAGGAATGAAAAGAAATGAGAGGACTGATATATGGAGGAGTTGAGCACTCATGCATATAAATGCAGCTGAAACACTGAAAGATATTGGAAGCTCAGATCAAGAAAAATGTAGATTAAGTTAAATTGAAGTAGGGGGCTGAGGACAAGAGGCATAGGGACCAGATTGTAGTATATATGTTTGGAGGGTGACAAAGAGGAGGGATGGCAAGCAAATACTTACACTTGTCTAGGGCAAGTATTAAAGTCAACACCTGACTTTTATGGCCTGGAAACAGGTTGCCACTAATTTCTTCCATACCTTACCTACTTCCAGTCCTCCTAGGCGTTTCTTCATTTCTGAAGTACCTATGGCTGAGGACTGGCAGGACTGCCCAGCCCTGGGCCCTGGTTGGAAGCGACGTGAGGCCTTTCGAAAATCAGGGGCCTCTTGTGGACGCTCAGACATCTATTATCAGAGGTAATGGGAGGGTTGTGGACAGTGTTCAATGGAGTCGTTACTAACTACGTTGTTAGTAATTAAACAGGTTTGTTTAAATCTATGGATGAAGTTAAAATTGTGCACATAGTCAGTCCTTTATTAAAAGTTTTGTGTTTTCATAATCACCCATTCTTAATAAAGTTTATTTGACCAAAGTCAATATTCACAGTGCATTTGTGATTATTCACAGACATGCATGGGGCAGCCAGAAATTTGAATTGTCTAGTGCTTGCATTCCCAGTAAGCTGAACAAGAACTTTTTGTTTCAAATCGAGCATCCTTTCCATGATCTATTTAGTGCCATATTTTTGTTGCCAAATTTGTTGTTTAAAAAAATCTCCCAAATAAAGTGCTGAAGTGTCTTCTAGTATTCTGAGTGCAAGAAGAAGGCATGTGCTTTTTCTCCTTGTCAGATAAGCTTCTTCCATGAATTGCATGTACTATCTGCTTGAGTTACAATGTTAAAGAATCAGAAATGGTACATCCCGAAAGAGAAGAGGAAACTTGCTGAGACGTGTATAAGGCTGCTCTGGAAAGAACAAAAATTAACATATGTAGTACTTGATGATGCTCAGAGAAGTTGGGAAAGCAGCTAAATCTGTAGATTCATGAACTGATGGACAGTAAAGCATAATGAACATCATTGTTATGAAGAAAGCCAAAGTCATATTGGTCAGCATTAGGAAAATGTAAACCATTTTAGCTATTTCTGTCTGACTTGCATGTTTCAGAAGGTGATATGGTATGAAAAACATTAAACTTGGGATGTACATTCTGTATATCAGAAAAACAAGACTAAAACACTGGCAGATAAACCTAGACAAAACATCCCCTGAAGCCAGTGTGGCCCTTAGTTATTAACCAATCATGAAGTCATTTATAAGAAATAAATGTTACAGGGTCTTTAAACAGAAACATATAAAACAAGACTATGATTGATCAGCTGTTGAAAATGTGACAGGCTTGCTGGAACTCACCTGTGTATTTCCTGTAGGACCAACAAGAACCTTGTTGCATGAATTCAAGAACTTCATAATACATAATTACTACATATAATGAGAATTGACGATAAATACATTAACATTAAAATTCCTAAGTGTTGTGGCCAGCCGACCTGTCAAAAGTCCCTGAAAAGGAGAGTGAGGATTTAGAAAGAGACAAAAGACAGGATAGAGTCCGGAGGGCTTTCAGTGAATATTGCAACAGCCCAGAATTTTTTCTCATAGTCATTTTATACCCAAAACAAAAGGGGAGGGCAAAAGACTTCCTTAACCATGGTTCAAGGAAAAGACAAGCATAATCATCTCCTTAATTCTCAAAACATCAAGTAACCACACCTTTGGTCAAACATCCTGTTATTTGGCCATGAGGAGCAAGAACAGGCTTGAAATCTGTGGCCTTAAATCAAGATGGAATAGAGTCACTGTGGGCTCCCACAGACAAGCAGGTATTCTTGATACAGCTACTAACATTTCTATACCCTTCCTGTTTATCTAAGTTGTCATTTCCCTGGTAGAATATCATAAAATTTCAGATATTTCTCATTATGTTTTTAACTTTCTTCACATATGAAAATTTCAAAACGTAAAAGTAATTGGCAAAAGATATGTATTTATCAGACTAGTAAATGGGTTTGTTAGTTTTGTGGATGCTGGTAGGAAGTGATACTTCTGGATCAGAGATAATAAAATTTCTCACAGTAGTATCAGAATCTAAAATATCTGTTTTTAACATATCCCAGAATCCCAATTCCCATAGGATGACATGGAAAGGGCTAATTAGCATATGTGCTGCACTGTATATAGGAAAGGCAGCCTGTGTATTTGAGTTTAGATAATCAAGTATCAGTATGATAAGCACCCCTGAAAGGGGACTTTTTCAAAAGTTACCTGTTTTTGCAAACAGTGAGAAGGTAGTTTGTTATTTCAGGAGATAATGAATACCTCTGATGACGCTTGCAGAAGTGAAAAGACCTGGAGTGTCATCCCTCAACATTAACTGCTTATACTTTGTATTGAATATAGTTTCATTTTGATGTTTTAAAACATAGTTTTGTTATAAGCTTTTATGATCATGCATTCGGTATGTAATGCATAACATTTAAGTACTGGGTACTTGTCTAGTGTTCATGGAGCCTTGAGTTTGATTTCCAGCACTACCTAAACTAAGTGTGATGGTACACTTCTGAAACCTTAGCACTGGGATGGAAGAGGCAGGAGTATCCAAAGTTCTAGGTCATCTTTCTTTATATACTAGTTTCAAAGCCCTTTGGATTAAAGTGATATCCCCATCTCAAAGTAAAGCAAACCAAAAGAGCATATTTATATGTTACGCACTTAGTAAGTATTTTATGTTGAGTTTTATTCATTTTCAACACTAATGGTGTTACATCTTATAAGGATGTTTATGTGTCTTCATTTTTATTTATTTTAGAGCAGGGTCTCTCTCTACAGAGCCCTGGCTATACTGGAACTGATTGTATAGACGAAGCTGGCCTTAAACTCAGAGATCCACCCACCCGCTTTTGCCTCCCCAGTACTGGGATTAAAGGCATGTGCACAGTGTCTTGCCTGTTTATGTGTCTATATACAGTTGCCAATAGTAATACAGTCTGAGAAATACACAAACTCAGGTGATGTATATATTACACTATACATCTAAGTTAAATATTCATATGGTCATACATTGCTTACTGGTATTGATACATTCTGAAACACATGTTATTTAATGATTTTTCATGTTAAATTCATAGATTATACAGCTAGAATGTGATGTCATTAGACAATATAATCTTAGGGAATGTCATGTATATGCAGTTGGTTATTGATGAGAACATCATTGGATACCACATAACTGTATATGGTATAGAATATGCTCCTCCACTGAATAAAAATTCCGAGATTAAATCAAACACAAGAGAGAATTAGGAAGTCAAGAGAAGCAGTAATCACTTAATTATATTAGGTTACTAATAATCTGTTGGTGCCCATAAAGATGGCTGCATACCATTTTGGCTCAAGGGCAGAGAGTTCAAAACTGTCCTCAGCAAGTCATAAGACCTAAAGGTCAAAGGTGTAGCTACAGTAGGGTGTTTGATGTTGGACTTGTCTGTCTCATTCTAAATAACAACAGACCTGGTCTGAAGTGTGGCTACTCCTGAGCCTAAAGGCTAGGGAACAAGAAGTTGTATTTGAGGTGTGGTTCCTGAACCCTTAGAGAAAGGAGGAAGATAAATCTGTTTGTTGTATTATATACATAATACCATGTTTCCCTTTTTGGATAAGGTGTATATAAGAGTGGTGAAAAATAAACTGGTGGCATTTCAGTATTAACTGGATCTGCCCTCCTGATTTTATTCTGTGTCTCTGTCTTTTCTTTATCGTCTATAGCTAGCCTTTCCCTCATCCATACACCCCCACTCAGGTATGAACTTGGGGCTGCTCAGCTGGTTCTGATTGCAGCCCCACAAAGACAACTTCCAAGATTAAATCAAACACAAAAGAGAATTAGGAAGTCAAGAAAAGCGGTAATTATTTAATTGTATGAGATTACTATTAGTCTAACATTGCAGCTTCACAGTACATTAACTCTTTTCATATGTAGGACTCTAAAATGATAAAACACATTAAGTTCATAAACCAGTGATTGTAATTATTATTAATCAAGTATTACTATATGTCGATGTGCTATAGGTATTACACTAGGTTTGTTTACAATAACCCCACTACAGATGCGTGTATAACGTTGTGTGTGGTGACATTAAAATTATTACAGTATTGCCAGATGTTAGAATTTCCCCTTATTATAATTTTATGGGATTATTATAGAATATGTGATGGCGTGGATCAAAATGAGGTTCACAGCTGAATTATTTATTAACATTTGTATGCATGCTGGTATTTATATTCATATCTTGTATTCCTGTTACTTATACAGAGGTAGGACTTGGGTGGGGCTCACAGGCTGTGAGGGGATCACCAGATCTGTGGGTATGTTGTGTAGGTGGCATGACATTAGCTCCCTCTTGGGCCAACTCATTGTGGTTCACTCTCAGCCCCACAGGAGATAAGATCCGAAGCAAAGTTGAGCTGACTCGATACCTCGGCCCTGCGTGTGATCTTACCCTCTTTGACTTCAGACAAGGCATCTTGTGCTATCCAGCTCCCAAGGTACTTCCCAATGTCAGTGTCTATGCCAGGGTAACTGTGTCACATGATACCCATGTGCTGATCCACACTCCCTGTCTTCATCTCTAGACCCATCCTGTGGCTGTCCCCAGCAAGAAGAAGAAGAATAAGAATAAGAAGAAGCAGCAGCAGCAGCCTTCTACACCAGCCAAGGCTAAGAAATGTCAGGTTGGACCCCAGAAGAGTGAGGTCAGGAAAGAGACCCAACGGGATGGGAATAAGGCTGGCACTGGCACTGGCACTGGTACAGCTCCAGCTTCATTACCTGCTCCTGGGTGAGTGTTGGCTTAAGGTGAGCCAGGTTACTGAGGCTTGGGATTGTGAGTACATGGTTCTGCTCTTTTCGTTTTAGGTGCTGTGAAAATTGTGGAATCCACTTCTCATGGGATATCAAAAGGCAGAGGCTCAAGGCATTGTGCAAAGACTGCCGAGGTAAGACAGACCCTAGGGATTAGGAGACAGGCCACATATTAGACCCAGTGCCAGGCTAAACTGGAGGTTGTATGGTACAGGTCAGGACAGAGGCTTTGGGTGTATGTGGAATCCGCCTGGGATCCCACTCTACTGGCATAGGTAGAATGGTGAGAGTCAGGGTCAAGGAAGTAGCTGAAGCTGTGTGTCTGTGTCTGTTGCTTCCTTTTCCTTTCTCACTATTCTTCTTCTTTCATCAGCACAGAGAATTGCCTTCAACCGAGAACAGAGAATGTTTAGGGTAAGAACAGTTTGTTTTTTGCAGCCTACAGGAGAGCAGAGTGTCCTAGCATTAATGGAGGGTTCGGAGTCATGACAGGCCTACAAGGCATGATGGGTTGGTGTTTTTGTTTTCGTTGTTTTTTTTTAAATTGAGACCTGGCTGTTGGTTTGTTTGTAGATGCAATAATGGGAATTAATGGGTTATCAGTAAACACAGGGATTAATTTAACAGAGTACTGGTAGAAGGCATAGTAGTGGCCTTGGTATTGATAAGCTAGTCACTAGTTTATTAGCTATAGTAAGGAAGCTAATGGGAGACTATTAAGCATGGGTAACATTTGGAAGGATAGTGGTCCTCGAGTCCCCTACCTAGACTTCTAATCTTACCCCATCCATATCTGACAGAGAGTTGGCTGTGGAGAGTGTACAGCTTGCCTGGTAAAAGAAGACTGTGGGACTTGCTCCATCTGCCGTCTGCAGCTACCCCATGATGTGGCATCAGGACTCTTCTGCAAGTGTGAGCAGAGACGCTGCCTACGGATTGTGGAGAAGGTGAGTCAGTTAGATGAGGTGGGCCAAGGCTCTCCTCAGTCCCTGGCCTTCTAGGCCCTGACTCCACCAGTCACAACTCTGTTCCCACCTCCCCACACAGAGCCGAGGGTGTGGAGTGTGTCGGGGTTGTCAGACCCAAGAAGACTGTGGCTGTTGCCGTGTCTGCCTTCGCCCTTCCCGCCCTGGTGTCAAGCGCCAGTGGAGGTGTATGCAGCGCCGCTGCTTTTGGGTGAGTCAGCTCAGCGATCACTGCTGCTGGAGCAAAGGCTGGGCCAGGGATCATACACTGCTATTGCTTCCACCCAATCTGGCTTTGCCTGCCTCATGTCTTGTTTTCTTTTCCGTCCCATGCTCACCTCCTTGGTTCTGCCTACCTGCCTTTCTCTGCCAGCACTTTGCTCATCGCTTCCGTGACCACCCTCAAGGATGTCACCGACACCCTCCCCAGGTTGTGGTTGCCCCCACTGTGAGTGTCTGACCACACATTTCACCTGACCAGTCAATGCATGCTTTCTGCACTCCCTGGGGGTCCAGTGTCTACCTGGTACCACCAAGCCTTAGCTGGTTTTTGACTTCTAGGGTAAACATAAGTGTCGTAAGAGTGGCTCGAAGGTGGCTGCCCAGAATGACTCCCAAGCTCAGCCACTGCCTCCACTTCCTGCATCCCAGCGCCCACAGCCCACGGAGCTGGTAAGGCCCTGGTGGGCAGGGGGAAGGCACAACCCTAAACTCACTCAGCACCTGCCCTGACCCCAGCACATTTGCCTCTGCAGCACATCAGCGACCTAGCGCCCACATCACCTGCTGAGTTCATCTATTACTGTGTAGACGAGGACGAGCTAGTGAGTGGCCCCACCTTACCTGGATAAACCTAGACACTCCTGATGCTTCTGTAACCCCAAGGAAGCAGATGCTGTAATGGGACTAGTAGGGAGTAATAGTTTGTACCAAGGTGGATAAGCAATTACTGGGGAAGAAGGGGTTAGCAGTGTGGTGCTTACTGTCAGGTGATCCAACATCAATGTCTGGTGCATGACAAACATGCTGAATGGTGACATAAGGGTGCAGGTAAATACGTTTGTGTAGAGTAACTAGTCAACCCAGCTGGCAGTGATGAGGACTAATGGAAGGTCAGCCAAGTCCTGATGGAGGTGAGGACCAAAGACATTGTCCTGATAGCAGGTGCTCTGTGATACAGTAATGATGCAGTCTCAATCCTAATGGTCTTGGAGGCCAGCAGGCATAGTGATTGTGGCTTATTTTGCCATCGCAAATGCTGAGGAGAGGTTGCAGGCTGAGCCTCATGTGTAGCTAGCTCCTCCAGGGCTTGAGGAGTACCAGGAATGGCACTGAAGTGGGTGCTGAGGATGGCCTCTCCTAGTCTTAGTGACAGTAGCACCATTCCCCTCCACCCCAGCAGCACTACACGAATCACCGGCAGAACCGCAAGTGCGGGGCCTGTGCAGCCTGCCTACGGCGAATGGACTGTGGCCACTGCGATTTCTGCTGCGACAAGCCCAAATTCGGGGGCAGCAACCAGAAGCGCCAGAAGTGTCGTTGGCGCCAGTGCCTGCAATTTGCCATGGTGGGTGGGGCAGGAAGGGTTAGGCGGATTGGGCTAGATTGGGCCTGGCCCACCCCGTGTTTGGGAGTGGTGGGCAGGCCTGGTAGATGGGTGGGTGGTGTAGTGATTCCCGTTGAGAATTTGCAGATAGTGTGTTGGGGTGAGTCCAGCTCTCCTGCCATTGCTAACAGGAGATTGATTAGCAGGCTCAGTGATGAGAGCTCATGTTAGCAGCAGGGTCTCTGATGGGACATTAGCAGGCACATTGAGTAGGGCAGGGTGGGGAAAGTTGGATGGCACCAGGGTGACCACAGCACTCAATCTTTTTCTCACAGAAGCGGCTGCTGCCCAGTACTGGGTCAGGGTCTGAGGAGGGAACAGTATCACCTCCACATCACCGTTGTCGAAGGAGGCCCCGTTCTTCTGGACAAATGCATGCGAGCCCTTCCTTAAAAGCACCTTTGCCTGCTCGTACAGCCCCACCAGGCCCTGCCCAGGTTTCAGCCAGGCAGCGAGCAGGTGGAGACTCTGTGCTGCCCCCACCTGACACAGACCTTGTGTTTTTACGAGAAGGTGCCAGCAGTCCTTTGCAGGTGCCTGGCCCTGCTGCAGCTTCCTCAGAAGCTCCATTACAGGTAAGGATCTCCCCTCGCCCCACTCTTCTAGGCCCCACCCAGCTTTGTGCCATGGAGCTGAGACCAAGTCTGTTGCCCTCCTTTCTTATGCAGGAGGCCCAGTGCTCTGCCCAGAGTTGGGCTGTGGCCTTGCCTCAGGTGAAGCAAGAGAAGGCCGATGCTCCAGAGGAGTGGGCAGCAGGCACAGCCTTCCTGACTCCATCCACCATGCAGCCTGGCTGCCCTAGCAAGGTTGGGGAGGTAATGGGTGTCTTATGGGTGCCATACAGGTGGTCTATAAACAGAATTATAGTGAGCCATGATGGTGGCACTGAATAGCTATGGTATGCTGATGATGACCAATCTGTTGAATTATCCAGCACATCTAGCAGGTGCCTTATTCTCCATAGGCAACTAAGTTTGCTTGCCATACTGCCCAGCTCATAGGAGACTGAAGATTGTTGAGGAATAGCAGAGAGATGGCATTTCTTAGTTATAAAAGTGAGATCTGTCTGCATAATGGGTTGGCTAGTTAAAAACAAAAATAAAAACTTGCCTCAGGCTGGCCCTGTCTTAACTACAGCCCTTCCTCATTCTCCTAGGTAGTAGACCCAGATCTTGTACCTGTGAAACAAGAGCCCCCTGGCCCTGAGGAGGATAGAGAAAACAGAGAAGATTGTGTCTCTGCATCAACCCCAGAGGAGGAGATAGGAGGGGTTGGCACACCAGTGGTCAGTGCTGGGGGACGTTCCCACCCTACCCTGACCTTGCTTTCTCTCCTGTCATGTTGACCCATAATGTTATTATTCTTTCCTAGATCACAGAGATTTTCAGCCTGGGTGGAACCCGCCTTCGGGATGCAGCAGCCTGGTTGCCAAGGTGTGCCCCATTCAGTTAGGTGTCGGGATGGGGTGGTTGCCAGCCAGATGTGGGCCCTGAGATTTAAACCTAGGGTCAGCAGTTTGATTAGGTGCAGAGGGACATAAAGGCCTGCAACAGTAAGGTAGTGTTTTGTGCTGCACTGTGAAGATTGCTTTTGAGATCCAGCCTGTTGGTATTCTAGTGCTCTCCTCTTGGGAAAGGAACAGAAGGGTTGATGCACCATGATGAGACTAGAAAGAAGACAGATAAAGTGAGGCTGCTCTCCTTTTAAGAGTCAGACTTGACATAAGCATTCTTATTCAGAAGATCACCATTCATTATCTTGAAGGCCTTAGATGCCCCCAAGAGCTCATTATTGGGTGAGCTGTTTCTGATGATGGGAAGAATGTGTGTCACACAGATGACATTGGACTTTCCCAAGCAGTGGAATTAGGGGATTGGGCTTTAAGTGGCTGTGTGGGCTGAGTCTGTGTGTAGCTGTGTGATCTCAAGTGGATCCCCCACTTCCTAGAGTAGCCTCTGTGGGTAGATTTGGGCTTTGTGTCCCAAACCTTTTCTGTTGAGTTTATCGTTTCAGATACTGTGTAGAACTGTCCCCAAGTCTAGTAACAGAGGTGAGGAGAGATGCCATTGTAGTAGGAGGAGGACCCACCCCCAAGGTTAAAAAAAAATCTTCTAGGCCAACTATCTGGATCCCATTGTTCCCATACATCAGTTTTAATCGATAGGAAACCTGCTAGAGTACCTTGTAGATAGCAGCTGGAGATGGCAGAGACCATGCCTGGTGTATGGCAGATAGGGACTTCCATTAGCCATGATTCTGCAGGCTGTAAGGCTTACCATGAGGAGATAGAGGATCCCTCTTAACAGATAAGTTCTGTACTGTTTACTTTGCTAGTCTGTAGAAGAAAGGAAAGTGACTGTAAGTAAATTAGGAGAAATGGATGCAGATGCAGAACAGTAGGAAATGGTTGTGTGATACTCTTTTTTTATACATGGCAAACCTCATTCAACAGACAGACCTGCTCCCTCTTCCCTAGGTCCAAGGACCTTAAAAAACCTGAAGCTAAAATGCAGTAGACTGGAGGCTTCTGCTGACTGTAGGACTGGAGGTGATATTTGCAGACCGGCTCTATGAGAAAGAACCTTGATCTACCAGGTGCTGGGCCCTGGCCTGGTTACAGAGTTTGTTTGTGAATCAACCCTAAGAGAAAAACCTACAAGCACAATCGAGGAACAGGCTGCTCAGTCCTTGAAGCTTAGAGGAAGCAAACTGGAAAGCAAGAGAAAGTGTAGAAGGATGAAAGAACATCTGCTCCTCCCAAGATCTCAGTGCAATGAAAAGCTGGATGTAGGGGTAGGGGAAGGATATAATTGAAACCACTACAAACCATTCAAAAAAGCCATCTTCTTAACACTTGGTTGGTGGCTTCTGGATGACACCTGGCAGTGTGTCTGAGCATTTTCTCAGGGAAACAGCAATTCAGATGCTACAGAATAAAGGAGGAGAAGGCATTGCTGTTTGGTGTGCTCCTCTTTTGGAGCCACTTCCTGAGCACTCACAGTAGCCCTTAGGAAGCCTGAGTGATAACTGTGCACTTTTGCAGGTGGGTAAACAGATTCAGAAGAGATGAACCCAGTGTTAGACAGCTAGTGTTGGTAGAGTCTAGAAATACACCAGGCTATAAAAAGCTTTGTTCTTTAATCCACTAAACTGTTAACTGCAGTCTTTTGTGCAATAATGTATATTACAATAACAGTTTTAGTGACTTTGAAAATATCAGTGGATCACTATGAACACTGCAAGATATCCTTTACACTTTTGCCTCTATTGTGGTTTAGGGAATGCTGAGGCTATGGATGGATGGGGTCACCTTCTTGTCAGGGCATTGGCTCATCTAGAATCTAGGTTCCCTGAAGGCCCTAGATGCTGCATAGGATCCCTCAACCCAGAAATTGTGCTTTTCCCCACTGCTGCTGACAATTTGCTTGAGCCCAAGTGGTCTCACTTTGGCCAGAGCAGTACTTGGAACTAAAGCTGCCAGCCTGGACCGTCTTTTCCTGGCAGCATCTTTTCTCTGATGACCTTTATGTTTATTTCCTGCCCCTAGCTCAAATGTTTGTTAGGAGGCTGAATTAACTTATGTACTGAGTCCTGCCCATGGGCTGATCTTGGCTCAGCCTTACCTCACTTTCCATACTTAAATGCCAAAAAGAAATATAATTGGTTACTTAGCCAGCTTTACTGGGCCAGGACTGAGCGCCTCGTCATACTTTGTGTCCTGTGTGGCCCGCTTGCTGTAGCCTAGCCCCAGCCCTGCTGCTTTAGGTGATTTCAGATGTGGATTTCTCATTTCTTATTTCCAACTTATAAGGCACAGCTCTTGGCAGCTTCTACTCTTCCTTTGCCCTGATTTGCCTACTTCTGTCCTGGAGTCATATTGCTTTTAACCTCTAGAGCACACCACTTGTCCCTAGTATTCTGGCAATTCTGCTGGTGTTCTAAGGGTAACAATGTCTCTGGTTGGCATTTGACCTGTGAACAAAGATTGTGGTCACTATGTGACTAGGGTGCGATCAAAAATCAGAACCACTACAACAAAGAATAGTGTATGTGTTTTAAGGGAGTTTTGGGAGACATTTTACATAATTTTGGGAGATCGTTCAGAAGCCTCTAAGGCTGTCATTTGTATGTAATGCTGGAACTTAAAGTATTCAGGAGAGGCAGTCGGAAGGGAAGGTGGATGGACACATGGGAGCTCAAGAACAAGAGTTGAAATTCAAGAAGATGACCTGGAACTATGTCAGTGTCTAACCACCTCCAGCTTCGATGACATTTGTGTCTCGCAGAAGAAGCTAGTGTCCTTCATCAGAGTGAAGTAACATCTGGCCTAGGAACTAGAGAAGCTGAAGGAAGAGTCCAGGGAAGTAGCAGCTGAAGGCCTGGCTGCAGGACTTGCTATTTCCCCACACCAAGGTGAGACAGCAGATTAATGACTGCTTGTGTGAACTGCAACATGCCTGGTATCCCTGCACCAACTTCCCAACAGCCTGCTGCCGCTTCACTTCTGCTAACCACAATGTTTCTGTGGATTTTCTTAACTAGAAGTCTATGGGGAAGGATTCTGGGAAGCATAGTCTAGTCAAGGTGACATGTTAGAAAGCCACCCTGCCATGATTCAGCTCCCAAAGGTCTCACCACCACCCAAGGATAACCGACAACTACATTGCTGAAAATGTAAAGCTGAAGACCATGGATTTCATGATGGTCCCAGCAAGCAAGGAAACCCTGTCAAGCTCATCCCTAACAGTCTTGCTGGTCTCAGCTGTTAGCTGTGTCACTCATCCAGTTATTGAAAACTTGGCCCATAGTTATCACTGTACATGATACCATGATCCAGAAATGCAATTTTATAAACTGCATCAATATATATCACAGGTGATAAAAAGATCTCCAGTTTATTATGGACCTTGATGCTCAAAATATAGGATCTAGTATACTATGGAGAAGCCAGCCCTTGTTTGAGGTTTTGAGATGCTATAGAAGTTAGAAACTTAATCATTTCTATTTCTAAGCTGTTCTATTTTAAAATTATTTTAAAACAATTTTCTTGTTCTATTTACTGTTTTTTTTTTTTTTTTTTTTTTTTTTTTTTGTAGCACCTGCACTACTGCATTACCCAATGGGTCGGGCGAGGGGCTGAGGATTTAAAAGAAAATAAGACAGCAGGTCATTCATGCTAAGAGAATGCCGTTTATTGAAGGAACAGGGGAGCCTTATATACAGGCTTACAGCACAGTGGAAAACCAGGGTTGGAAGTTCCAGTTCTGATAAGCAGGAGGCGTCTCAGCTGGGGGGTGGAAAGAGGAATTTACTGTCAGGTCATCTAGGAAGGAGGGTTGCAGGATGTTCTAGCACAATAAGCACTTGATCAACAAGCTGGTCAGCAGATCCCCCAGGGGTAGGGCCCAACAGTTTTATGTGTTACTGTTTCTTAGAGAACTATTTGGTGGTGGTAACAGTGTTGACTACTGTGGAAAAATTGGGATTGTGGGTGGCCAGATGAAGGTCAGTTTTGTCATTTCTCTAGGCTTCAGACTGGGGTGATTGCAGGCTGAGGTAATGTGCGTGCTACTCATCTACTTTGCAGCCGCTAAGGTTCCTCCAGGCCTAGGCTGTTTGAGAAGACCATTGGGTAGCTTACGTGCCAGGCACCCTGGGACAGAGCCTGTACCAGCAGTACCTCCTGGTGTACACAGAAGCCAGCTCCACTCTTCAGAGGATGGTGAAAGTCTAAACTGGGAGTTTCCTTCCCAGGCTGCTCCTTCCCAGTGCTCTGAGCTCAGGATGGTTTTGAGCTGCCTGCAGGCAGCCGACTGTCTCCAAGGGTCAGTTTCCCCAGGCTGCCCCAAACTCACCAACAGGTCCTCTGTCTACACAAATCTCAAGGGTGTGGGGCAGGCAGCCCCAATCTCTGGTGTCTTTCACAAACCCTCTTGGAGGGGTTTCTTTCCTTCTGTGGAATGTGTGCTGGGGGTGAGGGGAACCTGCCTAAAAGCCAGCACTTAGAGCCACTCAGATGAAGGAGCTGCCCCTCGGACATTGTCGGGAAACCCAGACATCCTCTAAATTTTTTTCTTTTTTGTTTGTTTCAGGCTACATAAACTGTTAGCAGTAAATGAAAATGAGTATTTTACTGAACTGCAGTTGAAAGAAGAAGTACTGTAGGAGAGAAAAACAATTATTATTAAGAGAAGAAAGACATTCTTTTGTGGCTGAAAAGCTGAACCCGGAATTCAGGAAATGGAATCCAAATCTAGAGATGTACCGTATAGAACATCTGAAGTGGTTGGGTTCCAAATAATTAAGCATGCAAATTTGAAGAAAACCGACCTTAAGAGGGTATACACATGAGTTACATTCAGATTATTAGTGTCTGTCAGTGGCTGACCTTGTTACTGCCCCTCCCCCATCTACTTTTCTGTTCTTCTGCCCACCACTTAAGAATGGGTACCAAAGTAGCTTCAACATTGTAACTATCTTACTACCAATGGGAACTACAGCTCTGGTTCCCATGTGTGCTGAGGACCATCCATTTCCCTGGACTATGTTGCCAGTTTTGCCTGGGATCTGATGTTCAAGGATTGAGTAGCTGACCTTGTGACCCACAGTCCAGGTCCACACTGATGCCTCCATTAAGACTTTATTGTATTCAACCTCTAAGACTACTTACTGCCCCACCAGTACATTTGACCTGCTTGTTTCCTGTGTTCACCTAAAGTCTAAGCCCTGTTTTCTGTTCAGTGCAGTGGGAAGATGCTGTTCACAGATAGTACGGGTTGTGTGGCTCTATATAGCACTTAAGCTCTTTGAGTTTTAATGGACTTCACTGTAAAATAAAGCTAATGATACCTTCAGGTCTTTCAACCTTGTAAGATTGTTGTCAGCCTCAAAGGTTGTTTCTGGAAATACTTTGCAAATTGTAAGAAAACCAAACACGACTCCAAGCATAAGGTTGCCATGTGATTATCACCACTATCAAGATTAAGGTAGTTGAAAATTTTTAACCTTTCCACTCACAGCCCACTAACCTTTCTCATGCTTTTAGGTCAGTTACAGGCGATAGATAACTAGCAAAACCCACTGGATTGTGTTTTGACCCTTCAGTTAGAGGTGTGTTGGCCTTGTTCCTCCCCACTCCCACCTTCTGACTAGCCCTGGAGATAATGGAGGTGGGTGGAGGTGTAGATGCCAGGGCTTGGGCAATGGTTGGGCGGAGTGATAACAACAGAGTGCTCTTATGGGCCAGTAACCAGGCACTTCCGCTTGACCCGCCCACCTTCACTAGCAGCTCGCGGGGAGGGTTGGCTCACCATGGCAACCGACCTCTGTGTCTGGGAAGCAGACTCCTCTGGACTTTGCTGTTCCTGGTCGTCACCATCCCAAGCAGACTTAAAAATGTACAGCCAGCGGTTTGGTACTGTCCCAAGAGAATTTAAGGGTCCCACTCCCAAGGCGGTGATCATAGTAAGTATAGGACGTTTGCGTGGGGAAACTTAAAACTTTTTTTTTTTTTTTTTTTTTTTAATCTCTGGGTGGAGCCCGACCTGTCGGGGTTCCTTCACCTGGGAAGCAGGTTCCTCATGCCGCGGGTTTTGAGGAAGAAAAGGTTGTTGCTCTCCTATCATTCTGCCCATACCCAACCCAATCTTTTCCACTCTTACCTCCAGCTACAATCACTACTTGGGAATTGTGTGTGTGTGTGTGTGTGTGTGTGTGTGTGTGTGTGTGTGTGTGTGTGTTTTCCCCCAAACGAAAAGGGCTGACCCCTTGCATGTGCATGGGTGTGGGAAGGGTTCTGAGCCAAGAGGCAGATTCTGGATCTGTGCCAGCTACAGTTCAACGGTACAAACTTGGGTTGATGTTGTGACCCTATGAAAAGTCTATAGAAAGGGAATTGGGCTTTGAATGCTGTGTGTGATAATGGAATGTTCCCTGTGTGTTGAACAAAAGTGTCCCTAAAAACCGGAAATCAGCCTCCTAGGGTAGGCCAGTAATGGTAGCCCATAAGAAAGTAGTTTAATGCATTTTGCTAGGAATCCAGGCACTCCTCATCCATGCATCTGGGTTCCTTTATTCCTGCAAGCTAGTTCTACACACCAGAAAATCTGCCATAATTCAGAGTCCTAGCTGGAACCTCTAATGGGTGTGCAATGCTAAAGAATATACAGGGGGCAAATCCAGTGAGTTCCCCTCCATTAAAAGCCCCATCCACAAGGCAAAGAAACAGCTTCCTCCTAAATAAGCCATTAAAGGCAGGTAATAAGTTATGTTCTCTGTGGTGGCAACTTGTGGAAGGAAGAAAGATTTGGGCTAATCAAGAATACAGTTGTGTTATGGTCCATAGGGCATGTGCCACATTTTTTGTTCACTTACAGACCTCCCTCTTCTCTAGGCTGAAGGACTATAGGATCTGGACTTGGAAAAAGTAGTCTGGAAACTGCTAAGGGCTTTAAGGGCTCAAGAAAACTTCATGAAGGACAGAATCAGAACACTTTAGGATCACATATCTCAATGCAGCACTTGGGATCCAAGCCATTTGTTGATGACTATTATTTATGCCAATAACCAATAAGGAACAGGAAAAAAAAAAAAAAAAAAAAAAAAAAGCCAGACTGCTAAAGCAGAAGCAGGCCACTGAATTCTGTCTTCTTACAGGAAAAAACATAGGAGCCAAAAGAAGTCAGAGTTATTTCTTCTTCTCTGGTGTCTAAGTGTGTGATAAGAAACACAGACATGAGTGGTATCAGAATTGGTGAAGCTTGGACCCTCAGAAATTCTCTAGGAAAAAGCAATAAGAACAAGCAATCATGTGAGGAGCCACTAGCACATTTCTTTTTCTTATTTGACAAAGGAGAAACCCTAGACTTGAAACCTAGAATCCCTAGAGTCTTTTCAGAGTCAAACTCAGATAAAGCCATTGTTCTTTAAAATAGGAACCTGAGATGTTATGGTAGCAAAGGCTTTCCTAGGTCATCACAAATCCTCTTTGCTCATCTTTTAGTGTGGTCAGAGCATCAGTGTCCATTATTGTAGTTACTGGCCACACGTAACTTTCCACTTCTGGAAATGTGTTGAAAATGCTGAATCACTCATTGAAAAGATAGTGTTCTGGGTATACTGGAGAAATATGTTATCAAAAGTAATTTCCTATTTTCACTGAACTAATTCATTTACAAGAAAAACTTAGTGTCTGTTTTGCATTATATTTCTATTGAACAGTGTGGATTTTGGTCAGTGACAAACCTGTTCCTCAACTAGCATCTCTATTCCTTTTTTAGATAACTCAAGGTCCCACCTTGATCATCCAGAAACTGGGGACTCAGCTAGATGTGGTGACCCAAGTCTGTAACTACAACACTTGGGAGATAGAGGCAGAAGATCTTAAAGAGAGAGTCTGAGCCAGCCTGAGCTACATGACACTGTCTTACAGGGCTTCCAGGTGTAGCTACCACTCATGCTGTTTCTCACCAACTCTTTCCCTTGTTCCTCTCTTTTGTCAGTGTATCCTGAGTCTTGATTCCTGTCCTGACAACTGGCAACAATTTCTTGTAGTTGGCCTGTGTGTTGTACTCAGCCCACAATCAGAAGCCTAAAGGCTTCCTGTGTCCCCTGCCAAAGAGACCCTGCCCTACTTCACTGTTACAGAATGTGTGCTCATAACATACCAGGAATGTTCACGAACAGTAGCTTAATTGGATGACTCTAGACTCCAAATAATTTTGATGTGGATTTGCTTCTCATGATACACTTCCTGCTCTTGGGTCTCCCATTTCACAGGATGTTTCAGCTGCATCCAGGTACCCTTTTGTGTACCCCCAAGTCTGAAACATTCCATCTGTTTGTGTTTGGATGCTGTGTTTGTTTGTTTCCTCCAAGTGCTTTACTACAAATATCAAACCCAGTATCCGGTAATCTTGGCACTGATGTTCTAAATGTAATTCAGCAGAAGAATCTGCCTTGTGCCTTCTGGGTTTATTATTATGAATGAGCACTGACCTGCCACAATTCACCCAAGGATGACTTGATAAAACCACTGCTGAAAACACCAAGTTCAAGACTATTGATTTCTTGGTGGCACCAGGAGGTACGGACACTGTATCAAGACCATCCAGAAACGCTTGCTCATTCATATTGAGAGGCTAATTCTGGGAAGAGTGTGCTCAGCGCTAGCAATACAGAAATGATAAAGATATAGTCAAGGAGATTTCATTTAATGTGTTGATATATAGTCAAAATGTGCACACATGTCCAACTTTTGAGTGCCCATTATGCAATAAGCATACATTTAAAGAAATTGAAACTGTGCCAGCATTGTCCATGGCATAGGCCTTGCATTCAAACTTTTAAAAATGAAGCAAATCAGCCCCCTCCTTCATCGTTCTTTCCTTTTTTTTTTTCGTTGAAAGTATTTTGATGCTAATAACTGGTTAGAAACCATGTTTGGACAGTAGGTCACAAGAGCAGGTTTGAGAAAGCCCCTAACTCTTACTATCCAGGCCCATCCTATTTAAAGCATGTTGAGCATAGCACTTACATGTCTGGTTGACTAAATCATTTCTAGAACCTGGTCTGTTAAATTTTTATCGGTCTGCCTGTCTGTCTGCCTGTCCATCCATCCATATTAGTTCTTTGAGAGTTTCCAGTTCCATGCCTGTTTTGCTTGTATTTACCCAAACTCTTCTCATATCCACCCTTCCTTTCATACCCACCCAACTTGAATCCTTTTTCTTTTTTTAACCCTTTAAGACCAGTTTATGCTGCCCCCATATGCTTGGATGTGTGGTCTTCTGCTGAGTGTGGTCAACTTACCAGGGGATACACTCTGAGAGAAAACCAACTCTCTCTCAGCAGCTAACAGTTGTTGCCATTCACTCCATAGCTACTGATTGGATTGTTTGCCCAGCCTCCCTCTCCATGCTGGGATGCTGTCTGGCTGGGGCTTGCAAAGGTTTTGTGCTGTTGCAATCACTGTGAGTTCATATGTGCAGCTGCCCTCCTGTGTCCAGAAGATTTTTTTTTTTTTTTTTTTTTTTTTTTTGTCATTGCCACTCCTGGCTGTTCTGCAATGATCTCTGAGCCTTGAGAGTGGGTGGGGGACTGGGGTACAGTATTTATGTTTCCTTTGGAGCATCCTGTGGGCTATTATTCTATGTACTTTGGCCCATTGTGGTTGTTAGGGTTAATCACCACCTACTAAAAATAGAAGTTTCTGGTGAGGACTGAGGTATGTGTTGACCTGGTGGGAATATGAAGAAAGTGTTGCAAAAATCTGTTCAAATTTTAATTTTAATAATTATATTTACTTTTAATCAAAGGACCTTTTAAGGAAATTAGATGATCTATAACTCATGATTTGACTTACTTTTTTATGATGGTGCAAAAATGATAGGCATTCAGTATGTTGTACTTTAAAATGTGAATTTGGATCTTTTCATGGACTAGCAATATAAAGTAAGGTTACTCTCAGGGTCTTGGCCAGGACAGTGAGGTTAAACTTACATCAGGCTTAGGCGAGAGCGTGAGGCCAAATGATAGATATGTTTGTGTTTGTTATGCTTGGTGTGTGTTAAATGCATTTTTACTAACAGTATCTCCTGTTTACAATAGGTTTTCAGGATGCATGCCATTAGAAGCCAAAGACTCCATACTTGAGGCTGATTTGATGAATATCAAACTCAGGGAACCAAACAAGTTAGCCATTAGAGGCTTAAGCTGCTTTTGGTTGTAACAGCAAGACTGTGTGTGTGTGTGTGTGTGTGTGTGTGTGTGTGTGTGTGTGTGTGTGTACACACCTAAGTTTTAGATGCTTTTGGTTGTAATAGCACACACACATTTTTTTCTTTCCACAGTCAGTCTTTTGATTTTTGCTTATTGTGACAGCTGTCCTTTGTTTTTAGAGGGCCAAGCCTCCCAAGGCTCAAAGGGCTGAGCAACATCTGAAAAGAATCCAGCGCAGCTACCACAAGTACCATACTACTTTGGCTTCCATTAAGTCCAATGAGCAGGATCGCCTGAGAGCTGACTGGATTGAGCACAATGACCGCAAGTACTTTGACAGTCTTGTACAAGCAAGAGTCAAGGATGCCATGCAAGGCTTCATCATCAACACTGAGGAGAGACGGAATAAGTAAGGCTCACAGACCTGGTACCCAGGCATCAAAGAACCCCCAGAGCATTTTATTTCCTTTGAGCATTGGGGATCAAGCCCAGGGCCTCTATTATATTAGGCAAGTTCTCTGACATTTTGTCAAGTCCTCCGCTCGCAAACGTTTAATACCGTGCACGAAACAATCAGGTCAAATAAAGGCCATGGCTAAGTGTGCCATAATCAAACCAATAACTATTGTTGGTTATTATCTTTATTTATGTTAGCTACATTTTGACGGAGAAAGAATATACTGCTTTATGGTTTATTTCTTTAATTAAAATATTTAATAACAATGTATTGACTTTGCCACTTTTGAAGATAAGCATTTCATATTTTATCTGTATATTTCCAAATAAACTATGGTAATATAGATATTAAGATCTTATTTTATGGAGAACCACGGTGATTTTTTTTAAACATTATTTATCGAAGGGAGTGTGTGTCATTGTGCAAGTGGAGGTCAGGGAACAATTTTTGTTTTTTTCCTTTCACTCAGGGTCAGACTCAGGTCATCAGCCTACTCTTCTTTTAGTCTTTGAACGTGGCTTCTGGGAACAAAACCCATGTTTTACTGGAAAGTATTTTCCTGTATTTCCTCAACCTTATTGTGATTTTATTTTCTTTTAAAATGTTTTTTCTTATTTTACATATCAATCCCAGTTCACTCTCCCTCCCTTCCTCTCACCCCCCACCTCTACCCCTCCCCCAGTCCACAGGGAGGGTGATGCCTTCCAGGAGGGATCAACAAAATCTGTCAAGTCATTTGGAGTAGGGACTAGGCCCTCCCTCCTGCCTCTAGGTTAGGGAGTATCCCTCCATGGGGAATGTGCTCCCAAAGTCCTTTCGTGCACCAGGGCCTTAGACTGCCTAGGCCTTCTAATTGAGACCCATGTTCAGGGGGTCTGAGTCTGTCCAATGCTGGTTTTCTAGCTATCAGTCTGAGGGTCCATGAGCTCCCCCTTGTTCAGGTCAGTTGTCTCTATGGGCTTCTATAGCCTGGTCTTGTCCCCATTTTCTTATCACTCCTCCCTGTCTGCATCTGGATTCCAGTTCAGCTCAGTGTTTAGCCGTGGGTATCTGCTTCTGTTTCCATCAGCTACTAGATGAGGGCTCTATGATGGTAGGTAAGTTAGTCATCAATCTCATTATCAGGGAAGGGCATTTAAAGTAGACTTTCCACTGTTGCTCAGATTGTTAGTTGGGGTCATCCTTGTAATGTTGTGAGTAGGTTTTTCCGCCGGCCTGGTCGCACTGCTGCTCGAGCCCCAAATAACACAGAGATGCTCTATTTGATATAAAGCTGTAGGCCAAGTTACTAGTTTCTTATTGGCTAGCTCTGTCTTCAATATTAACCCATTTCTATTAATCTAAGTATTTTCACATGGTATCATTTTACCAGAGAGAGGGGCTGGCGTTTTTCTCTCTCCGTCCTCCATCTTGAATCTCCTCCCTACTACTTCCTCTCTCCTCATCTCCTAGTCCTGCCTATCTTGCTTTCCTATTGGCCAACAGTATTTTATTCATTAACCAATATGAGAAACATATTTACAAAATGACATCTCCTATCATTGTAGGACTATGGACATTTCTCTAGAGTCAGTTTTCTCTTCAAACCTATGGTATGTACTCACTTATATATGGATTTTAGACATAGAGCAAAGGATCACCAGCCTATAATTCACTCTGCCAGAGAAACTAGGAAAAAAGGAGGAACCTAAAAGATTCATACAAGGTCCCTCACAGAAGGGGAAAGGAACAAGATCTCCTGAGCATATTGGGAGTTGGGGGACAGTGAGTGGAGAGGGGGTTAGGAGAAAGAGAAGGGGAGGAGAGGAGAGCATGTGGGACTAGGAAGATTGAGTCAGGGGAGGAATAGACAATATCAAGAGAGAAAGAGAGAGAGAGAGATACCATAAAAGAGGGAGCCATTATAGGTTTGAAGATTTTTTTTCTTATATTTTTGGTTGTGAGTATAGCCTTTAACCACTGAGATATCCCTCCAGCCCAATCTCTTTATTTCTTTAAAAATTATCAGACACAAATGCAGAACAAAAGTTAGTTAGAATGATAATTTTAAAGAGTAAATAACTTAGTTGTTTTTCATTCATTTGTTTCAGGCTACGTGAACTTTTAGCATCAGAAGAAAATGAGTATTTTACTGAACTGCAATCAAAAGGAGAAACCATTGAAGAGAAAAAAGACAGAATGAGAGAGAGAACCAAGCTATTAAGAGAGAAGAAGGAAAAAGAGAGGCAGGATTTTGTAGCTGAAAAATTAGAGCAGCAATTCAGGTAATAATTTGGAAGAGCATACAGGCAGATTGTGAACATAGGATTGTTACCTAGACTATTAAAGGGACAAAGCAGCTGCCCTTAGCCAAGGGAAAGAAGCAGACCCATAGTTCCCCTCGGGAATAGTGCTTTACTGGGAGAAAGAACTTCAGGACCATGATGGATCCTTGAGATGGGAGAGAGAACATTAGACAGAAAATGGTGCAGTATGTGGGAACACACCATGGGGCCCTTAATGGGGAGGGGTGAGGGGAAGGAGAGGGAGAGGGAGAAAGGTATGGGAAGGGGAGATGGAGTGGAGGGAGAGAGCCCCTCCCTTCACTGGAGCACCTGGGATGGGTGGGGGTTGGGCTCACAGAAAGTCTCCAGAGCAACCTCATGAACAAAGAAAGTACCAGATTTTATAACTGTTGGGAGGCTGGTGGAAGTTTAACATTGGTGATTCAGTTCAGCATAACAGTCATGACAAAGGGCTGGAATAAATTAAGAACTATCAGGGCTTTGTAATTCTCTATGCACTGGAGGTGGCTGTGGGGGAGGAGGGCTCGACTTCTTTGGGTTCTGGAGTCTTTTAAGAGTGACCACTATCTTAAAGGGACAATCCTGCATTCCAGCTGGTATATTAAAAATGGTTTAGGAACATCAACTTACAGTAAGTTAGAGCCTTAGACAGGTGTACACTGTAATCATATGTCAAATCTTGGTAATCACTTAAAATGCATACATTAAATACATAGGTCACTTAAAACACAAGTGCCCAGTTTGTCTCAAAATCCTGCTCTCGTGCTTTGTGCTTGCCTCCCAAGGACAGAAATGCCAAGTGAGGGTTGTTTCCACTTCTGTTCCCATTTACTATGGTCTGATTATTACTGTGGCCATTTCAGATCACCTGGACTTGTGATCTGCTTTCTGTCACAGACTGCAGAGACCCTGCTGGTCTTCCCTGTAGTCAGTCTAACTCTGTGGTTGTCTCTAGGTCTCTTCTCATTTTGCCTTTCCATCTTAAGATGTCCTGAATCTGTGCTGATTTCATGGAACATTTTGAAGGAAATACCCCTTCTCTGAAACGACCTATTGTGGCAGCTGCTTTTAACTTCATAGACTAAGACACATTCCTTACCTTTAAAAGAAAGTATGTGTGTGTGTGTGTGTGTGTGTGTGTGTGTGTGTGTGTGTGTGTGTATGTGTCCTAGGTGGCTTTCACTATCAACCTGACACAGCCTAGAGATTTCTGAGAGAAGCCTCAATTGAGGGATGGCCAGATCAGATTTCCCTCTGTCTGTGTCTGTGAGGAATTGTCTTGAATGATGATTGATGTGAGAGGTCCTAGGCTACTGTGGGTAGTGTCACCCTTAGACAAATGGCCTGAGCTCTTTGTCTAAGAAAGCTAGCAGAGCTGTGGAAGGGGAATGTCTCATAACGCAAGCAAATAATTACAGGCAACTAAGGAATGTTGAGAGTGTAAGAAATAGTCTTCCAGGGGTGAGCTTCTTGGTTAGTATTACAGTGCTGAGTGATCAGTCCTGAAATCACATACATTAAATCACATTGGACATACTCAGCAGATTGTATTTATATATATATATATATATATATATATATATATATATGTATATATATATATATATATATGCTCTTATATATTCCCCAGCCCTAATGCAAAGATACTTGGTAAAGTCCCTATGATTTCTGTTTCTTCCTAGGACTATAATTGCCAGAGGAAGAACCTATTTATAACTAATTTATTATTCTGTGGTTGTATTTTCCCTGCCTCTCATACTTCTGGGAGGTGAACATTAAGGACATTGCTGTCAGGGGGTTAAGAGCTGTGTACTGCTTTTGCAGAAGCTCCAGGGGATCTGGTGCCCTCTTCTGGACTCCACTAGCATGTGTACTCACATATAGACAGAAACATATACACATAATTTAAGAAACGAAACAAAACTTTAAGAAATTGCTATCATATTTCTCAGGTTGGTTTCTTCATTTTGCTCTCTTATTAAATTCAGGTTCTTCAAAGTACCGATTGTCACATGAATGATTATGGGTTTTATATGTCTTAATTTTAAGATTTTAATCTTCAGAAGGGATCTGAATTTTTTTTTTCCTGGAAGTGTTTAAAACATGGCCTTTATCCTTTTAAAATTCATTTAATAAATACACTTACTATGTTATATTTATGAACATTTTGCCTGCATGGGTGTAAATATACCATGTGTGTGCCTAGTGCCCACGAAGGCCTTAGAACTGGAGGTGCAAACAGCTGTGAGCTGCCATGTGGATACTGGCAAGGGCAACCAGTGTTTTAGCGGCTGAGCCATGTCCCCAGCCCAAATGCATTCATTTTTTAAATAAGGTCTAATTTTGCTCAAAACTCAAGGTGTAGTCTCCCAAGTGGTCAGACTGCCACCACACCTGGCTTCAGTAAATATTTTTGGGACATATATCAGACTCTTTGATGAATACAATGTTGACTGATGTAAGGAAAATGAATGTCAGTAAGGTTTTCAAGTCACTGACCACGAGTCAGCAAAGGGATGTCTCTCGTTAAACTGCATTCAGATGGTCTCTGAGTAAGTTCTCACTTAACGGGGAGAATACAAAGTTCATTTTCATTGCACTTGCAAAGCAGCAAAATTAGATGGAGGTGTGGTTCAGAGAACCATGGAATCTATGTCACTGACAACAGTTCTGTAGACTTTCCATTAACAATACACACTGCCCTAATCCTTCCTGCTAGAGCAGTTGTTCTCAGCCTGTGGGTCTCGACCTCTCTAGAGGTCGAACAACACTCTTACTGATATCCTGCATATCAGATATTTACATTATGATTTTTTTAAAAATTTTTTTAAGACAGGGTTTCTTAGTACTGTGTTAGAGCCTATCCTGGAACTCATTCTGTAGACCAAGCTGACCTAGAACTCACAGAGATCTGGCTGCCTCTGCCTCCTGAGTGCTGAGATCAAAGGTGTAGGCCACCAACACCCAGTTACATTATGATTTCTAACAGTAGCAAAATTACAGTTATGAAGTAGCAACAAAAGTAATTTTATGGTTGGAGGTCACACCACATGAGGAACTATATTGAAGGGTTGAAGCACTAGGAAGGGTGAAAACCACTGCACTAGATGCTAATCTGAAAAGTAAGCTGCTATAATGAGTTGCAGGAACAGCTGGTAAGAGTAAATTCAGACTGAGGAACCCAGAGAGAACAAGTTTATGGGTAGGTGTTTTAATGACAAGGCAACTGGCCCATGTAAGTTAATTCTTTCTGAGGCAGGGTCTATCTCACTATGTAACTCTGGTTGTCCCACAACTCACTCTGTAGACCAGACTGGCATGGATCTGCTTACCTCTGCCTCCTGAGTGCTGGAACTAAAGGCATCCAGTGTCACAGACGAAATAGCAGAGCAAGGAGCAAGGATTCAAGCTGATTCTGCCTGGTAGCAGCACCTGTATCTTAGCAGTACCCCCACCCCCTGACTTCCTCACATTTCCTCTGTCCAGAAGGTCTGCATCCAGCATCTGGATTGTGTTTTGGTTTTCCTTAATCCAGTGCATTACTGTGTAGATATATGCCTAAAAACAGCACTGCCTCACAAAATGCTGGGGTCTGCTCTTTTCATTTCCCTTCCAGGGAGCGCTGTGAGGAGCTCCGCAGTAAACTGGTTAGTATCCATGAGAAGAAGGTGGTTGAGGAACGGAAAGCACAGATTGAATTCAACCAGGAGCTGCAGAGGCAGAAGCTGGTGGAAGAGCAGCTGTATGCGAGGCTCTGGGAGGAAGACAGACTAGCCAAGGAAAACCGAGATGCTCAAGAAGAGAGGAGACAGAAAGAGCTGGTTAGAAACACACGCCTGGGACTGGATGCTCAAGTCACCAGCCTCCAGGCGCAAAGGCAGGCTGCACAGCAGATGAAGGAAGAGGAGGCACGCCTCCTGGTGAGCCCTGTCAGGTGCCTGTGATGTAGTGATGGGCTCCATGGGTGTAGCATTTTCCATTTGGTTAATACAGTTTTCCGGATTGGAGTTTGGGGCTGGTCCATTAAGCACATTTCCACTTGGAAGTCTCATTGCTTCTTAATAACATACTAGATGTACAGGTGTGAATAGAAGCATAAAGCCTGGAAGAATGTGGGCTTGCATGTTGACTATAGTGATGTGTAGTGGGGTCAAAGATCTTTTACATTTATTTTTTTAGGGGGTTTATTTTTGGACTTATACCCACTTATCACTTACTTTACAATCACACAGCAATCTCTACAAAGCTTTATTGTTGACTCAGCTATGTTAAAAAAGCTCCATTTCTACAATCCCCCTAAATGCTGCTGTGTGCACACGTTTCCAAGAAACCTCATAGGCTCACCAGCGTAGAACAAAAGCATTAACTTACTTGCTTTGCTTAATGGTGCCCTTCGTTATTCCTCCTTAGGAGCAGAACAACGCACAGGTTAAACTAGAAGACGAACGAGAGAAGCTCCAGAAGCAGAAGACTAAGCGGGAAACTAGGAACATTTTGCAGAAAGCCTTACAAAAGAAGATAGAGTCTATGCAGCAGGAGCACAGAGAGGAAGAGGACTTGAACATGAAACTCGTGGGAAGGGCCCTTCAAGACTTACAAGAGGAGGCAGATAAGAAGAAGCAAAAGAAAGTAAGACATTTATTTAGTGCCTACTAAATGCTGGTCAGGATTGGCTGCTGAGTTGTCACTTTCTGTGTGCTTTTATGGCTCAAAGCCCTGAGATCAATCTCCATTATCAGGAAGGGAGGAAGGGAAGGCAGGAAGAAAAGAGTGAGAGAGGAAGGGAGGAATGGGGGGAAGACTATAAAAGATTGCTATAGTCCCTTCAGCAATGCAGAAGCACTTCAGTTTCCCCACACTCTCTTCAGCATTTGATATTGTCACTCTTTTTGCTTTATTATGGTACATGTTGACTAACATCACATATGACCTTTTCCCCTAATAGTTAATGCTGTTGCACAGTGTTTTGTGCTCTTATTTGCCTTCTCTACAATCCCTTAAGTGAAAGGTCTCCTTGTGGATTACTTGGGTCATTCCTGTTGAGGTTCCAGTCAACCCATTGTAGGGTAGCAGCATTCCCATTGACAGTGTGCTGGCAACTGCTTTAGGAGACTCTTTGAGAAAGTATTTGAACTAGCTTACTCAAAAATGTGTTGTCAAACATTTCAAACAGACATAATGGATGGTCTGAGACCCTTTGTATCCTTAACAAGCTTTAGCAAACTTCAACTAAAGTTCATTCTTGTCTTGTTTATGCCTACAAGCACTCCTGAGTTCTTGAAGTAAATCCCAGACATAATACTGGATCAGTGAATCCTTAAGTATATAGCACCATAGATTAGGATGGCACATTTTGGAAGACAGCTTTTTAGGCTGCCCTGGGGTTGACAAGATAGCTCATCAGGTAAAGGAGTCTACTATCAAGCCTGTTGATTTGAGATCTACCCTAAGGTAAAAAGACAGAACCTGTTACTAAACATTGTCTTTGACACCCCTCTCCCCCAACACACAGGCATGTGCACACGTACACACACACCATGGCACATGTGTTTCCACCCACACACATTACACACTCAGACATCAAATAAATAAATTACCATGTGTGATAGTTTGAATGTAATTGGTCCCCATAATCTCATAAGGAGTGAGTTTGTTGGAGTGGTGGGTGGCTTTGTTAGAGGACTTGTGTCACTGTGGGAGTGAGCTTTGAGGTTTCCTATGCTTATGAAATTTCCCAGTGTGTTAGTTGACTTCCTGTTGTCTGCAAGATGCAGTGCTCTCAGCTCTTGCTTGCAGCCATGCTCCCTGCCATGATGATAATGGACTGAATCTCTGAACTGTAAGCCACCACCACAATTAAATGTTTTCCTTATAAGAGTTGCATGGTCATGGTGTCTCTTCACAGCAATAAAACCCTAACTAAGACAACATATGTTTAAAAAATAATAAACTTGCTTTTACTGATATGTTCTAATAACATGAATTAAATTTTATGCCATGTAGGAAGACATGGGAAGAGAGCAGAAGATATACAATGACTATCTAATACAGCGACGAATGGAAGAAAAAGCCCAGGAGAAAGAACTAGACAGAATACTAGAAGACATAAAGGCAAAGAAGTTGGCTGAGAAGGATCAGCAGCTGGCACTTGAAAGGGAGGCAAGGAAGCAACTTATGAAAGAAGTCATGTGTACAAGAAAACTCCAAGTGCAAGAAAAGAGTAAGGAACTGAATTATATCCATCTCATCTTTGCCTTTACTTTTTAAAAGTTAATTGTTTAGTTAGCATCGAATGATGGGTTTCACTGTGACATTTTAATTCATACTTATCATTATTTTGTGCTCTCATTCACCCTTCTCCACCGTTCTTCTGTCCCCTCTTCCCCCATGCTCTTATTTTAACGACCAAAACATTTAGGTATCCATCTGGGCAATGCCATGTACGTTGCAAGTATTAAGACCCCTGCTTTTGCAAATCATATGCAATTTAGAATAGGAGGCATAAATGCACGAGAAACTTTGTATTCTAGCAGACACTGCCCAGTTCCAGGGGAGGTGGCTCTCAAGATGGAACAGTGTGTGTGCTCTGACTGCTGTTCACCTTGATGATTATAAAAGACAGGAAACACCCGCCTCTTTCTCCTCCCTTTCATCTGTCCCTCCTTTCTCTCTGAAGGTCTTTCTGTCCCTCTGTAACTTTGTACAAGTCAGTTTTAAACAGCCTGTAATGTGCTAAACCTTGAGAAATCCTAGGTGTCTGTTGGAATCAGCTCAAATGGCTCATTCACTCGAGGCTCTCTGTGTTCCCCCAAATAAAGTGTATCCTTCTCTCCAAGGATTTAACTACAATTTGATGACTGATGGGCCAAAAGGGTCTTTTTCTGTTAGCAGTCAGTCTACATCTGTTCTCAGGTGTGTTTCATAAGAAACTTTGACGTATTCTTATGAGGGTGAAGTTTAGTTTAAGACTTCTGGAATTACATGTGTGCTGAGTTACCCCCATCTCATGGATCTCCCTGAACCAAGTTGCCCCATACCACTAAGTGATGGAGTCTATTAACTCTGTTAGAATCCAGACCAGATACTTCTCAGACTATGCTTGCTAGTGGCTGTGTCTTCTTCCTCCCTCTAGCTGATTCTGCATACTGGACCTAGGCTAACACACTCCCAACTGTAGATAGATACACATTAACTAAATGGGCCTATCCTCCTTATTCATTCTCAAGGTCATGTATTCCTTTCCCAAAGGCAAGATACCCCTCTTAATCCACCACATGGGAATCAGAGGGAGTCTGACTGTGTGTGTGTGTGTGTACTATGGATTACTGAGGTCTATAAGGGACCTTTCCTCTACTGCATGGGCCTGAGGTCTTCCCCAGAGTTTCTGCCATGCTAGTATCTGCATGTCTTTATTAAAGTTAATATTTCTTTCAATAAATCCCTTACCCAGAAGGTTAATTGAACATAGTGTCCCTCGTGCTCTCTGAATGCAAAGCCTTTCAGTAAGATGCTCAAAGGGTCCCCTGGAGTCCATGGCCTCAGGGTGTCTACTTTGTAGCTTCTTTTATGGTTTCCCACTCATGACCCTTTCACCCTGGAAATTGTTAAACAACCCCACACATATGAGTGTATAAAATAGGTACACAGATCAAACATGAACTGATAATATATCATAAGTAAATTTGTTTTAAAACAATTCTTTAGTATATGTGTATTTTACAGTTTATTAAAGACAAAAGCAACATTGCATACTAATGAGATGGATATGCTTGCTTAATTACACAAAGATTGAAGTCTTGGGGCTTAATTTTGCTTGAATGTTTGATAATACAAGACTGATAGCGCTTTTAATATTTTTGAGAGTTGTTTAGTGTTTTTATTTTATAATCATCAATACTGAAAATACCACTTCACATAAACATATAATTCAAAATGGCAGACATTGTTGGGAATTCTGCCCTAATCTAAAGAAAAATTCATTTGCTGATCTTTTAAAATGAAATAAAGTCAGCAATTCAAACAGCAATAATAATACATTAATCAATAAATATTCTAACACAAATATTCTAACAGAAAGATCTGTTAATACAGTGAGGAATATTAATAAGAAAATAACTGAAGTCTTTGTTTATTTCAACAACCTGCATAGTTGTAGTTGACCTAACTGGGGCAATAGGGGACAAAGAAATGGTAAACACATACAGAAAATCTGGGTGTGAGGTGCAGTGACAGCAGCTTGAGCCTCGGCACATTTATCTGGTGTATTAGCTAATCTAAGTAGAGAGTCTCTATAGAGAGGCAGTCTCAGGATGAAGTTGGTACTTTGTACAGAATGAACTTGGTACTTTTACACACATTGGTTTTAGCTAGAGTTCAAGCATTTCTCAACATCTGCACTTGGACCAGAGGGGTGTTCCCATGGGTCTGAGGCATTGGCATCCCCAACTTGGCTCTGCTCTTGTCAACAACACATATTTACTCAGGACTTCATCTGCCTCCTGTATCTTTCCCTTTCTTGTTTCTTAACTGCTCCGGCTCCCGAGGAAGCTTGACTTCTAGTCCCTGCAGCAGCTCCACATACATCGTCTCTGCAACTTGACTGAGGAGAAGAAAAAAACAAAACTCCTTGGCTTCTGACCTGGGTGATTCCAATCATGCTACTCAAAGACTGGAAAAACTGGAAAACCAGGAAGGTCTTCCTGGCCCCTGCAGTATACCTCTGTCAGGGCTGTGAGAGCCAGCTCACAAAGAATGGGTTACGGTTTTGCTGCCCTGGCAAATCTGTTAGTGACCAGGTTTTTCCCCTTTGGAGGACAGTTCTCTCATTGCCCTGAAGGCAGCGATATTAATTTGTTGGTAAGCTTGAAAAGGACAGTGTAATTGGTTGTGAACCCATGGTAAGGTTCCATATCCCCAGGAGCACATCAGTGGTTACAGCAACTCCATGGGCTGGAGTACATTGCACCTGGACTTGGCAGAATTCTGTAAACCTGTTTTAGAATAACAGGTAGTCACCTGGGTTGAGGCAAGATCTTTCCACCACAGGCAGTCAATCAGAAGGAGGTAGTCATTGTCGCTGAGGATACCCTGAATAAGTCCTTGGATATATGGAGCTGTAGGTCTGTAGGCTGCACAGGCTTGTTTGATCCCCTTTAAAACTTTGAAGTCACAGTGTCATAACAGCATATCATTTGGCTTGTGATTCTGTGGATCAAGCCACTCAAATATGGGAAAGCAGTTAAAACCATCACTGTCTTATTGTGGGATTTCCCGCCAAGTTCTGCAATCACCTTACCCCAAATGAACACACAGACGCTATATTAATTATAAAGCTGTTGGCCAATGACTAGGACTTCTTATTGGCTAGCTCTGTCATAGCTATTAACCCATCTCTATTAATATAAGTATTTCCACGGTCTTATCTTACTGGAGAAGGGTCCGGTCCTGCTACTCCTCTGGTGTCCTACATGGTGACTGACTCTGCCTGTTTCCCAGAATCCTCCTCATATCCTAGTCCCACCTGTCTTCCTGCCTCATTGGCAAACCAGTGTTTTATTCATCAACCAATAAGAGAAACATATACAGAAGGACATTCCCCATCACTGTCTTCCTCCAAATCCCTCTAAACAAGGTTTATGGTAAAGGAGTGAGTTTAATTCTCCATAAATCTCATGGAAGCCTAGACTCAAGGTACCTTTTTTTTTGCCACAGATTAGGTGTCTTCATCCTCCATGGTCATATTTCTCAGAATCAGTGGCCAAGATATCAGGCAGATCAGGACCAGCATGATATGTAAATCAAATTTGCCTTTTTGTTTCCCCAGGCCCCAGGGGTGCTGTTGGAGCTACAGCTTTGGTCCCCCTGTAACTATCTGTGGCTGTCTCCAGGGACAAGGAATCAGTCCTTTTTAACCTGAGGGGGGCAAACTCACAAGGCCAGACACCCTCTGGGACCCTATTTGACAGAGTCTGTCATTTTGTGAGGAAACGACTAGAATCTATGGAATCCCATATAAGACTCCATAAACCAAGGTGAAAATGTGGGGTACATTGGGGTCCTTCAGCTATGTATCTAACCCTTAACTTTTCTCCTATTTTTTTTTTCAAATAGCCAATTTTCTTGTACTTTCTGGGAGCCAAGGGCATGTCTCCTGAACATAATCTAAGTACAGATGGAACCATAACATTTTTATTTCCTTGGTGTCCCAGAACCTCCTTCAAAATCTAAAGATTCAATTGCCACTCTCTCTACTCTGCTGTCCCATGCTTGAGCTGCCCTTACCTTTATTTGCATGTGTCTGCATTTCTCTTAAGCACATTCTCTCATATAGCCAAATGCACTACCCTGAAGTGTTTCCTCATCCTCATTCAGGGTTTGGTCTTGGAGTCAGGTTTGTGGTTACCTTGAGGTAACTGCCAGAGCATTACAATATAGACTGTGAGAGTATTGTTAGATTTCACATACATGGTCTTTACAGGAGTACCTCATCCTGCTTTTGCTGATTAATTCTCCACTGTAGGAACTATAACAACAGTCAAAAATGTTAAATAGAATTAGGTAAAGTGCTCAGTAAGTGAGAAGAAAATTTGTAAGTGGAAACTATGCTTGTATTCATCATTGACAAATGTTGAATTTTTGAGAAACAATGGTAAACTGAAACATTTAGGGTGAGTTACAAGTAAGCAAATAAAACCAGCTGTAATTCTACCACCCAGTAATTCATAACTATTCACAGGTTTTAAGAATATCTCTTCAGTCTCTCTCTCTCTCTCTATATATATATATATATATGTGTGTGTGTGTGTGTGTGTGTGTGTGTGTGTGTGTGTGTATGATTTTCTATCAAAAATTAGAATGAGGCTAGTTGTATTTGTTCATTAGTGAATTCTCTTTGTTTCTTTTTCCTTCTCCTCCTTCTCCTTATGCTGAAGGCCACTGTAGGTAGAACTTTCTGTCCTGCCTGCCAGCTCTCTAATAACCACACAGAGACTTATTATTAATTATAAATGCTCAACTGATAGCTTAGGCTTGTTACCAACTAGCTTTTATAACTTAAATTAACCCATATTTATTAATTTACATACTGCCATGTGGCTCATGGCTATTTACCTCACTTTTTTTTTTTTTTTTTTTACATACCCCTACTCATTCTGCATCTGGCTGACCACTCTACCTTTCTCCCCAGCATTCTCTCAAGTCTGAATTGCAAAGATAGCTTGA